CCACAAAAACCACATCTACTGTAATGGCCAGTGGTCATGATAACCAGTACGACGATATTGACAACCATCGAGTTAAGACAGGGCAGGGCCAGTTTCGGGCCATTGCTAAATCCAGAACAAAAACCACAGCTGCTGTAATGGCCAGTGGTCAAGACCAGACAGGGCATGGTCAGTCTCAGACAATCACTGAATCCACCACAAAAACCACAGCCACTATAATAACCAGTGGTCATGGGTATGAAACTACTGACAACCCTAATGTTAAGACAGGGCAGGATCAGTCTCAGGCTATCACTGAATCCTTGTTTGCTGAAAATATATCTTATGGCATAGGCCCGAATACCTCCCAGCTACCCTCTCTTTACCAAGTCGCGACCCGGTCTCAGGCCATCACTGAATCAAACACAAACATTACTGATGCTCTAATGACAAGTTCTCATGATCAGACAGGTCATGTTCAGTCCCAGGCCATGACTGAATCCTTGTATGTTGAAAATATATCTTATGGCATAGGCCCGAATACCTCCCAGCTACCCTCTCTTTACCAAGTCGCCACCCCGCCCCAGGCCATCACTGAATCAAATACAAACATTACTGATGCTCTAATGACTAGTTCTTGTGCTAAAACAGGCCATGTTCAGTCCCAGGCCATCGCTGAATCATTGGATGCTATAAATATACAATATGGCAGAGGGACGAATTCTTCTCGGCCAAATTCTCTGTACTGAAATGTAGAAATAACTTGATTTTTTTTTCGCTTGTCTAAGGTGGCCGTGATTATTTGAAAATACAATAGAAGTAGTGCCCAAACTGTCTTAGATGTGGATGCATAAGTGGTTACATTTTAAAATGTTACAGCTTTTATTATTTCATTCCATTTCTTTATAAGTGTACCTATTGGGGCTATAACTATTTCTAGAAGAGTTTTCATTGCCAGTGATGTTAGTTTTTTTTTTGGTGACCAATATTGTACATACGCCCAGGTGTTAGATTCCACACTGTGTAGTAGATGCCATTTCCCCTGCTAACCATTGCCCGGCCTAGAACAGAGAGTGTTGTACCATTCTATGAAAGTACAGACAATTAAATTTGGAAATTAATAGCAGATCAAAGTGCTACCAAAACTGTCTTAGATGTGGATACATGTATATAAGTTACATTTTTAATCGTTTTTATCACTGCTGATTTTTTTAGTGAATGTGAGTCATTAAATTGCATAGCGGCTGTAATGTTCTATTTCTTCACCATTGTACCAAATGTTGCTATAACTATCTCTAGAACAGTTTTCATTGTCAATAATGTTATTTTTGTAACAATTGTACATACATAAATCCAGGGGTTAGATCTCACAATGCATATTGTGTAGTATCGGTTAATTGCTCCTACTAACCACTTCCCCCGAACTTTAGAACAGAGAGTGTTGTGCCATTCTATGTAAGTACGGACAACTAAATTTGGAAATGTAATAGCAGAGCAAAGTACAATAAAACTCTGTTGTGGATAACTAAATGTATATACTAGTATTTGATATATTCATCATCATCATCATTTTTTCTTCAAAATAGATATGACCAGCACAATAAGATTACTGGATGCAAAGTTTTGTAACTATGATGTTATGGTTGTACCTTTGTGTGTGTGTGTGTGTGTAGTGTGTGTGTGTGTGTGTGTGTGTGTGTGTGTGTGTGTGTGTGTGTGTGTGTGTGTGTGTGTTAGTGTGCGTGTGCGTGCGTGTGTTAGTGTGCGTGCGCGAGGGTATTGGTGGCCTAACTTGCACCTTCGAGATCGGGAGAACGGTTGAGTATTGTGCTCTATATAGTCCAGTAGTCCCACAAGGGTTAACTCCTATAATGGACAATAGTTGTTGATGATAGAAGATATCACAATGCAGATACAGATGAATGATGACATTTTAATTACTTGGAAATCTATTAACATTCTACGTGTTTCTGACGGGTTTGCTTAGAATCACCTTCTAAGCCTTGGGGTGTCACCAGGAATGCGCGCATGCCCATATCTGACCTTTGGTCTGTTTGCTGTGGGCGTGAAAAATAGATAAAGAGTAAAACTATGGAGTTGTTAGAAAACGACCCAGATTTACACCAAAGGAAGTGGTATACTTTAATTATTTCATTATTCTCAATTAAAATACAGGTAAACACACATTTATAGTTTTATGTGTTGTAACTATTGATTTAATAAAAACAACAACGACGACGAAACTAGCCTGTATTTAAACAAAAGCACAATCGATATCGCTGCGTGATTTAGCTATGACGAAACGTGATAGCGCTAAGTACACTTTTTGCAACGTTGTTTGAAGAAGACGTAAAACAAGCACCGTGGGACACAGACTTTGTGAACGGTGAGAAAGGTGACACAATGGCGAGGGGAACCCAGCGTCTTATATTTGTCGCTCTTAAGGTACTGGCTGTGGCGCTAGCCTTGGTTCTGATGGTTGTCATCATAAGAACCGCGACGTTCCCGTCCTACCAAACCTCCCCACCGGAGTGCAAGCCCACCGACCCTGACTTCATCCCTGCTGACCAGGACAGACTGGCCCGCTTCACCTCAGCCATCCGGTTCCGAACCGTGTCGTACGAACGCGGGGTGGGAACACCGCAGGAGTTGTCAAGGTAAGGACTAAATGACCTATTACTGGTTTATTTATATCTACTAGTACTTGTTCATTGACTTGTTAACAGTGTACACTCGCAAACCGCCAGTGCTGCCAAGCAGGCCCATAACTTGCCCTTTGAACAGTGAACGTAGATTTGGACTAATTTGTATCTTGATGTTAACCTCAGATTTGTTTTTAAGAAATATGGAACTGTACCATCCTGTTGTTGTGCACTTAAGTCATAGGCTTTTGAGACTGACAGAGAAGGAGAGAGAGAGAGAGAGAGAGAGAGAGAGAGAGAGAGAGAGAGAGAGAGAGAGAGAGT